CATGCCGACTCTGGGGACGGTGGCTTTTAAGTGGCCAGTGGGCCTGACTGCGAGCCCAGAGTGACGACGGGCCGGGCGATTAACGCAGCCGCGAATAGTGCCGCCCATGTCCGGCCCAGCGCCGTTGCCGCAGCCATCTCCTGAGCGCCTTCTGAGGCTAGACGCCGCCGGCCGACGACCGCAGCTCACGACCACCAGACAATGCGGTTTCAGGATTGGTCGATATACTACTGACGCAGCCAGTGGTGGAAGCCGTTCAACAGACGGTAGGAAAACCACTTCCGCAAAATAGTGCCCTTGGCAACACTAGACACGCGGATCACTTTCAACCCGGCTAAATGGACGGATATCCTGAGGGCTCTGAAGAAGTTGAAGTTACCACTACATCCTAGAATCCTCAGCAACTACTTAAACGAAAGGAATCTAGTCTATAAGACCGCAGACGGCGCCCGCAAAAGAGACGTTCCAGCGGGAGTAGCGCAAGGATCGATCCTTGGACCACTTACCGAACGTCTGTTGTGACTACATACTTCAGATAGAAATGTATGAAGACATTGGCCTAATAAGGTACGCCGACATTGCCAGCTGTCATCCAGGCACGCACGATGACAGAACTCCAGTGGAAGCATAAGCAGGTGATGCAGGGAGGATCACGGGCTTCGTCTTACTACTCCACTTAAAGACTGAACTCGTCATTTAGACAAGAAAGCAGATCCCAACACTGATTCCCATGATTTTTGATACTGAGATTATGCGAATGAAGCTGTCAGTGTAAAACCTCGGCCTCACGTTTGACACCAAACTCTCCTTCGGTAACAAGACGGGCAGCGGATAAGGCTTCACTAAGCAAACCGAGCAAGCGAAGCGCACTCCATTATGCTGCACGGATCGGAGATCTAGGCTCTCGCCGGCACTCGCAAGTCAACACCTCCGAACCTGCACTCACGTCGCATCGCTCAGGATACTTATCCAGCGGGCGAAGACAACTGGAAAGCTGACGAGTACGTAGAGAAGCCAGAGCCCTCACAATGGAGGCACTGGCAGAACACCTAGGAAATTAAAGCAGGGGGAGATGGACAGCCAGGCTCATCCCGCAAATAAGTCTTCAGGTCAGGCGTAAGCACGGGGAAGTCTTCTTTCATTTAACACGGTTCCTCGCCGATCACGGATATTTCCGCAAATACCTCCACCGACTGAAGAAAGTAGAATGTGGGGAATGCATGTACTGCCACACTCAGATGACGCTGAGCACACATTCTTTGTCTGCGACAGATGGGCAACAGACAGAAGTATACTAGAAGAACGGTTTGGAGCTATAACTCCTGATAATATCTTAGAGATGATGCTTACCAGCGAAGAAAATTGGAAGCCAGATATCTACCTACGTGGGAAAGGTACTCCACACCAAGAAACTAGAATAAATTCCAGGCCAATAACTTAAATGGATAAAAAGAGACAATTTGACGAGAATAGCTCCCAAGGGCAAACGACAGGACGCGAAAGCGGTCCCGGAATGGTTCTCCTGTCTAAGGAAAGAGGGATTTGTGGGTTTTTCAATGGGTAACAGTGCCACACTACTCGGTGGTAGTATCCTCCTGAGTGTCCATTACAATTTCCTGTTTCCCTCGTAAACACTAAAAATTGTAATAATAATAATAATAATAATAATAATAATAATAATAATAATAATAATTAAAATAATAATAATAAATAATAATAATTGATGTCTGAAGATCCAGAACACTGAACTAGTCAGTCAAAAACAATGGCTTCTTGCACTTGCGAGGAGGTTAAAACGTTACCGAAAAAATGAGCCACATCTCAGAGACAACCAATTTACAAACAACCAAAAGAACTCCAGAAAACTAAGAACTAGAGCATCCAATACAGAAGCAGACAAAGACATCATAACCAACGCTGAGGACACTTTCAGTTTCTGTCAAAATGTGTGGGGTGAATCTTTTGAACACAAAAAGACAAAATAGTAGAGGACTGAAAAACAACGTATATCCAGATTGAAAACAATATTCAACTGGAAAAATCAATGAAGTGAAAATAGCTCCCTCAAAAACATTTAACTGAATAAGACTCTACAGATTACAAAATTTTGTTAAAGAAATTCACCGGTATGCATAAACGTCCTGCCAAGAATTACACTGGTAAATTGGAAAACCTGGAGGCGATGCCTCTGATTTTGACAGAAGGAATCCCCAAGGAGAACTTGGACAGAGCTGATACAGCAAAATACACCTCATGATGTCCCCCAACACTGTACAAGCTGCTTACATCCATAATAAATGGAAAAATATACCAACACCTAGACAAAAATAATATTAGACAAACAGAAGGGATGCCATCAGGGATCACGAGGATGCAAGGGACAACTGATAGTCGATTCCATCACTAGCAACTCTGTAAAATATAGAAAGGGATCATTATATATTGCATATATAGGCTATCAGAAAGCATTTGAGTGTCCCTTACACTTGGGTGAGTGAAATGTTGGAAATCTATTGCGATGAAAATCAAGTGAAGGGTTCCTGAGATATGTTTTAAGCACGAGCGTTTAAGACACCTTTTGTGTATGGACGACTTGAAATTTTATGCTGAAAAGAAGTTATCTTCGCAGCCTTCTAAATTGTAGGGGAAAATTCAGCAACAACGTGAACATGAAATTTGGCCTCAAGGGCAGAATTAGCAGTATGAGTACAGGAGAATGGGTAGAATACTCTGGTTGTGGGGTAAATCAAGAGCAAGGCACCATCAAAGGAATGGCTGAGGAAACGAAATACAAATATCTCGGATACTTGCAGTCTAGAGGGATAGATGATTTACTTGCAAAGGAAATGGTTGGTAATAATTACATCCAAGATGAGTGCACACAACAAAGAGAAAGCAATCAACATACATGCAACCCAGTACTCACTTATTCCTTTAGAATACTAAAATGGACCAACACTGAGCTAAAGAATCTAGACATAAAAACAAGGAAAGAATTTTGTGAAGCAAGAGCACATTATCCACACAGTTCAATTGAAAAGTTTCATATGCCCCGTGCAGATGGAGACATGGGTATTCCTAGTGTCAACACCAGTATATGCAAGTGAAAAATCAGGGAGATTACTTCTTCCAAAAGGCAAAATCCTATGAGTCAATTACTGCTAGTATAAGAGCAGATCACAGAGCAAAGCCTTTCAAACAGTCCAACATAATGTACGATCCTTCCTTACAGATTCTCACAAACAATTAGAAAGATGAAGGATTCAAGATCAGGTAATCGCAAGAGCAGCATACTTCAAGTACATCATCCATGAAAACACAAAGACGCCATGTGCAGATGTGTGGCCAAAAAGAGGAGGGGTTTGATTGCATAATTTCCGGATGCTCAGTTCTAGCACCAAAACAATATCTTGACAGGCATAATTGTGTCCCCAAAATTATTCACCAGGCTCTAAGGCAAAAGTGTTTTGGTAATGAGAAGCAGGTACCATACAACTCCGTTACATATGAACCTTCACCAATAAGACAAGACAAGAAATGCAAACTTAATGAAACCACCCAAAAATTACAAATAAACCAATACCGAACAACATTCCAGATATTGTACTCGTTTTCCAGACTGAAAGGAAAACTTACATCATGAGTAGCAGTCCCTCTACGAGCTAATCTGAAGAAAACGCACACGGAAAAAATTAACAAATACCTGCCATTGGCAGATAAAATAAAATCTGTGTGGGGGTATGGCAAAAGTCATATTGGTACCAGTTATTGGCATTACAGGTGAAATCCCCAACACACTGAACAGCAGTATTGACATCTTAGATTTGAACCATGACGTTTATATATCCATTCAGAAGTTCGTGATTCTGGACACCTGCAATATTGTCCAAAGAATACTGGGAGAGTTGATGGGAAAGATGTAATACGGAAGTCTATGTCCTTTGACTTAACAGACCTGGATTAAGACGTTTGCCTCCAGCATTATAGTGAAATAAAGAAATGGGAATAACAAGGAGACGGCGAAAAGAAGACGAGAAGAAGAAAAGAAGAGGAAAAAAGAGAAAAGGAGAAAAAGAAAAGAAAAGAGAAAAAGAAGCACATCAGTAACTCTGTAGCAGTTAGTTTACAAAGATTCAATTTTATTCCAGTTGCGAACATAGCAAAATTGTTAGTAACAGTATATAAAATTCTGAGAAAGTGGTGATCGACTTCATTCTCATTCAATTCAATTCAATTATGCTGTATTTTACAAAGGAGAAAGAAGAGATCACTCGGGAGATGAAACAGGCAATTTAAATTGAGCTCAGAGGCTTCTTTTAGGCTTAAGAATCTTTTACATGAAGTAAATCTACATGGGACAGCCGGCTTTACATTCCCTACGAAGGAAGGTGTAGGATAGATTTTTTTACCCATAAAAAACCTATGGCTTCATCACGTTGGAATCTGCAAACTTAGGTATAACAGCCCGATCTGCTAACCGTTATAGTCGCTCATTGAATGATTTTAGCCTTAAAATTACGGTTTGGTTCGGACACCTTAGAAAACTGCAAATCAGAGTAGCTAGCTGTTAAAGTGCTCTTTAAAATAGTGACTGAAATCGATGTAGCTAGCGTGGAAAGTTTGCCAATATGGGAATTCAAACCTTAGGACTTGCTAGTCAGAGGCACTGCTAAGGCAACGACACTGCTTGCTCTGTGCTACTCAACTGGTAATAAATTATGATGTAAGTTTGACACATTCCTCAACAAAACTGGGCAATAATAACTGCACTTGTAATGTTTCAGATTTACATCTGTGGTATGTCATCATCGATAAGTATTACCCTTATGCACAGTTTTCAATGGAACAAACTTCAGCCACCATTCAGAAATTTCAATAAAACTGTCCCCTTACTGTGACCACTTTATTCTCAGAGGGTCAACCATTGGGTATATGTCACCAGACTTCCTTGCAAAGGAATTTGAACTGAGTGGACTATGTTAATTAATAGGAGAACTTACAAGCCAATCTGCAATAAGGCAAAATGCCTCTCCGCAGCTCCTGCCATAGGGGCCCGTGGCCTGGCAGCTGCATGCTAGATCCCACCTCTAGCAACGAGATGCCCAAACTGAAGATGTCAGCGGCTTGTGTGAACATGCCTCGCAACACCTCAGGAGCTAAATAGCGAGCATCACCTTCCTCTGCATCTTTTATTGGGCCCTTGAAATTAAACAAAACTTCAAGATAACTAGAGGCAAAGAGTAAATCAATTGCACAAGATATAGGACACAATGTGATAAGGAAACAACATAATATACCATATTTATCCGAATATAAGAAGAGATTTTTTCCCTAAAATTCTTGTTCAAAGCATTAATACAGGGTCTTCTCCTAATACACATTCGTGGACATATTATTGGCATCCACCGTGCATTTGCCAGGCTATTCATTCCAATTATACATGGTTCCACCAATAATCAACCGACCAGACTTGGTTGAACTTCAATTAGATGTTTACTTGAGGTATTGGATTTATCACCTTGTAGTTCTGTGAATCAAGCTCAATCTTTACTTTTGTTCTTCGATTACATAGTTCATATACTACTCTTGTCAACATACAATTATTCATCACTCTAAATATATCAGTTTATTACATAAATAAAATAAATAGATATGAATAGGTAACTTAAAGAGAAAATCTCAAATGAATGGCATTGAAGTGAAACGCATGGTGAAAATTAATAAAAACGTGCCAAAATTTTGTTACACAAGGCTGCATGATCTCTCAGTTTGATGAACGGCAAATATGAATCCGTGTTTGCAAGAGATGAAACTTTTAAAAAAAAGTCCCATTGAAGTATGTAAACTACTTACAACCCCAAAGACAGATTTTAAAATTTTGTTTTTCTTAACTGAATAAATGGACATGCAGTCCTAGTATACAAAAAAATAACGGTACATGTTGCCTTGTATTCTACAGTAAATAACTAAACAACTTTCATGAGCATTCAACACTTAAAAAGCAATGTAAAAAGAAATAGAAAAACATTTTCGAGTCTAAGATAAAAATAATATTAAAATCCAAGAAGTATAATAACAAATTTTAATAATAATAATAAAAAAAAATATCTTCTATAGAACTTCTTGAACTCTGAAACTTGTTGCTCTCTCTCTCTCTACTCATGAAACAGAGGAATAGAGTTGTAACAGATCAAAGTTCACAAAACAATCTTGCAAACATTAACAACGCACATTTCTCATGATCATTCAAGAATCAGAGGCCACAAAAAGGAGCGCAATTGGAAAAAATCTTTTGAGGTTCAAAAGGGAATGTTCATAAATAGCGTCATATGGATGACAAATGCACAGATAAAGATGTTTCATGAATTTTTTCAGGCGTTTATATTCGATTATGATCCTTGCAAATCACCAAACTAATTAAGGGAAAATAGAAAAAAAATACCCTTTTCTTTAGTTTCTTTAGAACATATCATATTCTGATGCAGATCGTAAAATGGTAATTTGTAGCCTTGTAAACTCTCTAGAGTTTCCCAAAATTTAAATCTTTTATCTTACACGATCACCCAACAACTCAATATAAATAAAACTAATTTAATAGTTTATTTATTTTCTTATAATTTGATTTTGTTTTATTAATTTTTGTAGTTTTTCAATTTTACGTTTAATAGAAAAGATAAATAATGAAAACAAAGTTGTAACAATTATATTATAACCTACTGTGATTTGAATATTGAATGGATTTAGTTTTTAAACAAACAATAATACGAGTTTATAAACAAAACAAAACTGTTACGAAAAATGTTAAATATTAACTGAATGTTAACAAATATATCTTAAGTAGTCACTTCTCGATTCATTGCCACATTACATTAGGCAGCAGATTTTGGAAACAAGCCATTTGGTTCTACGTTGCAATGTGCAGATTTTCCATCTATCTCTATGGTGCAATATTTGATACTTGTGTCATCTGGTTTAACATTAAAAGATGCAAAAAGTCTGCCATCCACATATTTGACAGAATATCACATACGTCTCCTTAAAGTCAGGCACATTGATGTGCATAGATTGTCTTCTACTTCTGCAAAGCAAGATTCAGAAAGCTGTCAGAAACCGAAATGCCTGTCAGAACAGTCAGAATCTCTATTGATATCAGATCCATTATCTCAATCAAGTTACGATGATCATTTTGCATAGTACAGGCTAAAGGAGAAGGGAATACAGAATTAATTGAAAAGCCTTTCCAGAGAATCGTTGTTACATAAAAATATTGTTTCTTGTGCTTTTCAAACTCTGAACTAAATAAATAATCCTGAACTTTGAATTCGTTTTTGATAGCGATGCATGTTTTTATATTGGATTAATAATCCTTCCGAACTTTGTATTAGTTTTGGTAGAAACGCATGTTTTTATACTGAATCGCTCTTGCGGTACACACTAAATTGGAAAACTGTTGTTAATTGAACAATCACACAATTTCTGAGCATTTTTATACACGTGCCAACTAGAGAAACAAGTTAGTATAGTCATTAAATAATGTGTCAAATGAAAGCAACAAAAGTATTCTGAATAATGTACGAAAATACTATATCATTTTCAGTTAAAATCTTAATTCGTTCAATATTCAAATAACAATAGTTTATAAGGTTATTAACTATAACAATTTTGTTTTTCCACTATTAACCTTTTCTAATAAATATACACTAGAAAAACTACGAAAATAACCTAATTTTAAGATAATAAATAAGAAAGTATTAAATTACTTTTGTCGGCAGTAAATTACAAGATAAAATGTGGAAATTTTGGAAATGGTAGAGATATTACAGGGCTACAATTTGTATTTAGCCCATTCAATGAACTGCGTCAGAACATGAGATATTCTCAAAAAACGAAAGAAAAAAGGTATTTTTTTTTCTATTTCCCCCTTCTTTTTGTTGATTGTAAGGGCCGAAATCAGATATAAATGCCTGAAAATATTCTCGAAACATCTTTAACCATCTATATAAATTGCAAGGATAATAAAGTCAATATTCATAGGCTTAATGTGGTTTAAAAAAATTAAAACGTATGTAAGAAGCTAAAAAACATTTTCTTTTTATTTGTACAAAACCCTCTGGGTAAATGGATTTAAATCCGGCGAAAACCTAGTTTTTTTTTCTCTCCAATTATGATTTTAAATATAAAAAGAAGTATCCCTGGGTGCACTTCACCTATCAAATTTCAGTACCCCCTTTCAATCTCTTAAAGGCACCAGTTAAAGTAATAGAAGAAATCTGAAAAATTCAGAAATCGTTTTTTCAATGTTCTAAACCAATTTTGGGGTTTGAGAGCAATAAAATTCAAACTTTTTGAAAATACCAGTCACCCTAATGAAGATTGTAGTGAGGAAAACAATCATGATTAAGATTATTTCAACCCCTTAACTTACCAATTATGAAACAAAAAGCAGTCCAAAAAATTCCAATTTTTTAAAATTTATTATTATCATTTATTATTATTATTATTTTATTTATTTATTTATTAATGGTGGCAGCAACAAGCTGTTGTACACATATCATTACATCGGTGTAAAATAAAGTTATATAATACATAATTTTCGTACAGTAACACAGTTATAATTAGATCATAACACAGATAATAACACTTGTGGAGATATATACATATATATATTATCATCATTCAATTGATCACACAAAATTGACAATCCAGACAATCCTTAGCTTAGCTCAGAGTTTCCTTTTGTATACAAAGTGCGGGAAGTGTATCCCATGTATTTACCACTCTGTTCACAATAAAATGGGAACGTTGTCCTGTCCTTGTCCTCTCCTTCACCAGTTTCAACGCGTGTCCTCTAAGTCTAGACTCCGTGGCTTTAATGAAAAAGTTGTTGAATTCAGGAACGTCATAAAATCCTTTCACGATCTTAAACATTTCTACAGTATCATTTCTACTTCTTCTCTGTTTTAATGTTAGAAGAGACATTTCTCTGCATCTTCCTTCATAATCAAGTTGACTTAGTTCTCTAGGGATCTTTGTAATCTGCCTTTGTACTTTTTCAATATGTTTTTTATCTTTCTGATAATAGGGGGACCAAATCACATTAGCACACTCTAGTATAGGTCTGATATATGCCGTGTAGATCAGTGTCACCATAGATGGACGTAATTTAGAGAATGTCTTTCTAATCAGGTATAGTAGCTTATTGGCTTTTTTAGTAACAGTAAACACTTGGTTATCCCATTTCAGATTTTGAGTGATAATAACGCCAAGATCATTTTGTTCTGTCATAGAGTTGAGGATGTGATTTCCAACAGTATAATCAATATTTGGGTTATTACTTTCTAAATGAAGAACAGTGGATTTATCAGAATTCAAAGGTAATAACCAGGACCCTGACCATCTCACCACTTAGTTGAGGTCATTTTGTAATGTCTGATAGTTTATTAATGGATTAGAGAAAATTTTGGTGTTGTCTGCATAGCAATTTTAACACGAGGATAGTTCATTACCTACGTCGCAAGTATACGAGATGAATAATGTCGGGCCTAGAGCTGAACCTTGGGGTACACCACTTGTAACAGCACGCGGTCTCGACAGTGTATTTCCAATGCTCACCTGGAATGTCCTGCCTGATAAATATTCCTGGATCCACTTCAATAGCTTGCCTCGTATACCCAAAGATGAGAGTTGGTGTATGAGGCGTTGATGTGGAACTTTATCGAAAGCTTTAGCATAATCCATATATATGATGTCGACTGGTCGTTTCTGGTCCAATTCCTTGGTCCATATATCTAGCGACTGTAGTAAATTTGTAGACATTGATCTTCCTGGGATGAAACCGCGTTGTTTAGGGATGATATCATTTCCATGACTTTGCACACTGTGCTTGTCAGACTTATTGGTCTGTAGCTTTGTGGTAACTTTTTGTCTCTTTTCTTGAAACCGATGTGATAACAGCTTTTTTCTATTCAGAGGGCAATTTCCCTAATTCTAAGAATTGCTTGAATATTTTATTCAGTAAGGGAAGAAGTTGTAAATTACAATTTTTCAGATACCTGGTTGGAATACCATCAGGTCCGGTGGATGAGTTCGCATTGAGTCCGCACATTATCTGGGCAGTTTCAATATTTGAAAATTCTATATTTTCAATAATTCTGGTACATCTCTCTCGCACGGTCGGCAGTGGACCTTCTGGTTCAACA